TGCTAAGTTGAGCACTTCCATGTTCGTTATGCTTCTGACTTGATAGTGGTGCGTATGTCATAAGGAAAAAAGTTGAAGAAATGAAAACCTTATATTGAGAAATACTGAAAAATACACACAATGTTTTAGATCTCATAATCCTGAATAACAAATGCAACACATTATATTAATCATGGATAGATTTTTTTTTTTTCCTTTCTTAGATAAAAATACTTGTTACAACTACTTGGCACAAGTTGCTAATGAATGAATATTTGCATTCTGTCTTTCACTGTATGTAGCTGTAGAGAACATAGGTATAGCTCAAGCCAAACTTTTGAAATACTGCTGTCCTCTTGTTTCTTGAAGAACCTAATGCTTTGTTTTGCTTTGTAGAAAACCTATATACTAACTTTATCAATACAGCACCAAAACTCATAAAATACAGGTTTTTGGGTAATAATGGTCAGTCCACTCATTATATGATCGATTTCTGGACAAAGCAACATGTCAAAATGGATTAAAAACCTGGTAAATGCAATATAAAAGTTCCTTTAGCTCCATGAGCTGCTGTAGGAGGGGAATAGTTACTGTCTGCTATTGTGAGACAAAAACAATAATTAAGCTGCCAAAGACATAAGAATGGCTGTGAGATGAGCAATTCACTGTCTTAATTTTTTCAAACAGCTAAAATGTATATTTTTCCTTTTTTTTTTTTTTTTTTTTTTTTTTTTTTTTTTTTTTTTTCATGGAAATTGTAAATATCAAAAGGAATGGTTTGATTTGCTTTGTTTTTCATTGGTAAGTTAACAATTCTACTTCGTTTCCTTTATCATCACCTTTCTCTTTTTGAAGAGGCAGAAAATAATTTTGCCCCATCAAAGGAAAATGAGAAATAATTGAAATATTTTTGTGGTTATCAGTCATCGAGATTTCCTGCAAGCACTGTTCTTAAAGGAAATGCTACAGAAAATGTACGTGAAAAATAGTTTTGCCAAGAAGCAGTGCTTTGTGAGGAAGACTGAGATCGGATCTCCACAATTTGCTGTGTTACTCCCTTAACCTGGGCATGATTCTCAGAAACGGGATGGCTTTACTGTGTGTACAGATTTGCACCTGCAATAACTTTTCTGTTTTTCATCTCTGTGATAGTCATTACTTCCATACTATGCGTTTGAAAGTCAACCGTACATTTAGAAACCAGGAGGTTTAGGATCTTAACCAATGATCTGCCAGATAAGTCAAACGCCACTTGGCTATTTAGCAGCCGCCTCACACCTGTGACTGGTGTCTGAGCTCTGTCTTCAGCTCAGCCTGCTTCGCTGTGGGGATGCTGTGCTACTCGCTGGAGCGGGCTTGTCTCCTCTCCAAGCATCCCCAACACATGGACAAATCTGTGGGGAAGGTGCCTGCAAGTGTTCACCCACTGGGCTTGTGAATTTCAGTTGAAGTATGAACCTCTTCTTCCTTCAGTGAGGACTTTTGAACTCCTGAGGTTATCTTTAAAAGTGTCTGGCTGTGTAGGACTGGATTGCTTTTGCTGTCCTAGCCAGAAAGATGATTTTGTCCTTTCATCTCAGTGGTGTTTCTTACCCCATAAGCAAGCTGATTTACCCACTCTCCAGAAATTAAACTTCTCCTTTCTCATATCCAACACAACCTTTTTTCCCTACTTGATGAATCAGTTTTCCCTTCCTGTATCATCTGTCCGACCTCATGTCAAGAATTTTTCTTGTACTGTCCAACAACTTCTCACCACCCTTACCCAACCTGCTACTTCTGTTCCACAGTGCCCCAAAACAGGTATTTCCAAGAGGTTTGTTTTTTTTTTTTTCAGGGTGTTCCCTGTCCCCCTTCTCTTAGGTGAATGCCTTAAAGTTACGTTGCCCCTTTGCTCCAGAAACCCTATAAACAACAAGGGGGGGAGGGAAGGTCTGTCTTGGTTTAATGCCTTTCTCCAGCAAATCAACCGTAGGAGGTTTCAAAACTAAAATTTATATCCAGATGCTAACTATTTGCCAAAAGGCAAATTAGCTAATTATATAATGAACATGGAGCGCCTCACAAGCAGTTGCACAGGGCTTGGCAGCTCTGCTTTCCAAAGTACGTGAAACGAATTCCCCGGCAAAACCAGCCCAAACTTGGCCCTGGTGCTAATAACAGTTTGGAAGCACCAAATCATAAAAGCATCAGATAGGATCCTTTTTATATTTTCTGTTAATATTTGATCTGTTTCCTGACTCTCTTCCTCTCTGTTTTTTTTTTTTTTTTAATTTTAAAAATATAATTAAAAAAAAAAAGGCAGAGTGTAAGTACTACTAAATTCTTGCAAATATGAATGCAATGCCGTTGCGTTTGTGGAGCTCATATTCAGGGTGCCATCTACTGGCATGCAGAGCTGATAACGCTGTGAGGAGTCTTAATGGATTTTGGACAGCAAAGGATTTCTACCTGGAAATCCTAAGGGAGCAACTTTCGACACATGTACCTTTCCTGTCATAGTCTGCAAGAACTTGCCATGCCCTACACTAAGACAAATAAAATCTGATGGTGGAAATGTTGGGGTTTGGGCATTTTTCTTTTCTTTTATGGTGCTCCCTGTAATTGTAGTGCCTCAGAAAACCTCGTAATACTCCGATCTGTGTGAAATAGTGGCAGTTTTGTGGAAAATTAACTAAGATTCAACGAGATCAGAATAAAAATTTCCAGAAGTCTTTGCAGACTTGTCATTTACTGACTGTGTTTCTACTTGAGATCCAGGGCATGACTTTGTCATACTATTAAACTTTTTTATAGTACATCATGTACTGACAACACCAGACAGAGACTACCCAGCTAAAACTCATAATGCTCTCAAGAAGAGATATGTCAGAGTTTTATAGGTGGGAGATTTCAGAAGAAAATCTGAGAGATGTGCTCCAGCCAAACATTGGATCAGTGACAGAGCCAGTGTTGCTCTCGTCTCTCGAGTCTGATCAGCTCTCCAGCCTGGAGCCTACTGAAAATCTGTTGAGAAGCAATTTTGATTTGATACCAACATGAAATACAAAATGGTTTGGCTCTCCATGTTTAGAAGGAGGAAGAAATCATTCCTGCTTAGAGCTGCTGCAGACCTTACTGCCAAAATGGCAAAGTGTCCCTGAGACACGGGCTGGAGCAGCAACTGCTCCGAAGGGGTGTGAGAAGTGTCTCGGGGGGAGAACACGCAGTGTCATCTACCAATGGTCCACGTAAAGAGTTTTCCCCAGTGTCGTATACCAGCTCTGCAGCAGAAATAGGCATGCGTGCTCCTGAGTAGCAGGACACAGCTTTAGTCAAATTTTTCTCCTCTCTTTCTGTGGCTTAAGTTCTGTAGGGATCTTTGAGTAACTAATTCAATGCAAGAAACAGACAATGAACATAAGCTTTATTGTTGCTGTTATTAAAGTTAGTGTTTCTATCACGGCGCATAATGCTGAGTGAGTAATGGCTAATATTGAAGCACTTTCTTCTTCTCATTTCTCTCTGGAAGAATGCTGTGTTTCCTGGTGTTTTCATATCTCTGGCTATACGACATTAAATCCCCTGAAGATATTAGGAAGCCTCTGGACATGGTCCTGGGCAACCACCTCTAGGTGGTCCTGCGTGGGCAAGGGGGTTGGATCAAATGCCCTGCAGAGGTGTCTTCCAGCCTCAACCATTCTGTGACTGCATGACCTCTCATTACCTTCCTCTACATCTAAGGCAGTTTCCTGTAAGGAATTGATTTATCAGGGTCAGGAGAGGGCGAAGCTGTGAGAACTCTCCTTCCACCAGCACAAGAGCTGTGATCCTGCCCAGAGACATCCAGTAGTGCTCCTCATCTCCCCCTCCCACCTTCACACCAGTACCTCATCTTCCTCTACTGCCTTCATGGAAATGGACTTTCTTGAAATCGGGGAATTTCATCTTTTGGAGTCTTCAGAAACTGGGGAGATGTTGCTAGAAAAACTTGTGCTTTTCAAACCCATTCGGAAAATGCTGATTTTCAACAGTTTATGTTATAACTGTGCTTAAATGGTTTTCCATTTCCCTTGCTCCATAGTTGGGAAACCAGCAATTCCAGCTTATATAGTATCTCTTCCTTACACATTTTCTCATATAGTTACAACACAATATAAATAGCAAGTTTTCTTGTGACTTTTACCGTACTACTTCACCCATGATTTACATATAGTAGTGCCAGGGTGAACTAGGGGAAAAAAAAATAGAGCAAGTGTTGTACATCACTGTCCTGATGTTTGGTACAGGTAATGTAAAGCAGCTCTTGCTGATGAAAAATGTTTTGGGACTTTGAATAGCTAGTACGGAGTTTGTCGAGTTGTACTAGAGCCGAGACAGGAGGTTGAACAGCAACACTACTAGGGAAGGTGCAAGTTCTCCCCGGTCCCTCCAAGGGCTTGAGGGCTGATGTGCTCAGCCATTTATTCATTTCAAAATTTTAAAAATGAACAGAAAACCAGAAATCTTATCTGCGCTGTTGGCAGAATAGTGAAAATTAAGGGAAATGTTATCTGATCTGGGTCTGAATCTAGGACACTGCCTGGGTTGCAGTGTGGTCCTGTAATGCACTTGTAACATGCATGTATCGAACTGTGGAGGTAAGATATGTTAATTGTCTTCACAGCATGTCATTTTCCTTTGCAAGATTTAAAATGTGGAGTGTGAGCAGGGCCAAAGACAAAGTGTAGTGGCTGCCAGCTGGACGTGACAGAGGCTTGCAGGGAGATTACACCATAGAGGAGAATGGCTTTTGAGATAAGGATAATCTTTTACATAAACTAACTCTTCCAAGGCAGATTGGATGGGTGAGTGATAAGGACAATAATAAAACTACAGGTTGACACAGATGATAGTTATCCTGGTGTTCAAAGATGATCGGGATCTTGCCAGAAAGATAACTCAGCTTCTTCTCCTGACTACAGTGACATATAACTGGCACTGATACATTTTTTTTGTACGAAGGGTTCCCTAGATTAATGCTCTTATTTTATGTTCTTCAGGTTAACCAAGTAACCATGGAAAGGTCTACAACTTCTGATACAGCTTCTGAAAAGCCTAATCCTTCCCACCACAATACTGGGGCTGTTCAAATGAGGATCAAAACCACCAACAGTCACCACGATAGACTGAGCCAAAGCAAATCCATGATTCTGTCCGAGAATGTGAAAGTTGCTGAGCCTGTAAGTAAAATACTCCTAATATTTTCTGAGTCTTCCATTTATTTTTTTTTTTTTTAAATACAGAATTGGTTTAAGTGTGATTAAAGATACTGGTTTCATGATCAACCCTTGCAAGGAAGGATTTAATGGTACTAACACATTTTTAGGAATATGGCTAAGCATTGGAATAACAATTTTTCTTTAATGAAAGACAAAATTTGGCTTTGGTGGCCGTGAGCCCAGCATCTATTCAACGTTTCAACTCTGAAGTGTTACAGTACTTAAGTATGGCTGATGTAGAGAATAGTACTTACGGTATTAGATATGTGTCACGATTTCTCAAAAAAAGCAAACTTTAAAAGCAGACAAAAGAAAAAGAAATGGAAATTACAGCTCCACAAATAAAGGACAACTTTGTCCGTAACAAAAACAATTCTTGTCGTAAGAATGAATGAATTGTAAAACACCCGACTCTGAAGTTATCTTGTTATTTTAATAGTTGACAGAGTTGAAAGAGTTGAGTAATTTTTTTATCCATTGCCATTTTTTTTTTAGAAATTAAATGGTTAGTGATGAACTCTATTGCCAGTTGCGTCCCTGCCCCTGTACTCCTTCTGAGCTACTAAACAAACTGATTGGTATGAGTCTCCCCTGGTTAATTTTCTTCCATAATGGTGGCAACTTGCAGCTGAGGCCATATGATGTTACAAAATTATTTATGCAATGTTAGCCACTTTTTGGACTCCAGATCCATTTTGTTCTCAGAGAATGCAAATGAGGGAGAAAACTCTGTTAGCTGGGGACAGAGTCCCAGGTCTCAGTCACTTCTCACAACCATGCCAAACATTGTTTTTTTTGTTTTGTTGAGGTAATGGATTCCTATGAAATATTCAGCTTTCCAACAAAGTTATTAAATGGAGGAAGCCTACAATAACATCTGTATTTTCTTCCCTGTTTACTCATACTTCAAACTTAAAGCTCAGACTTATTTAGAATACCGTTATTTTAAACATTAATTTCTCTGGTGTAACATAATTCATTTCACCTTATATTTCCAGGGGGAAAAAAAAAAATCTATTTAGATCTTAGCAGCTGATAAGATACTCATTTACCTTCCATTTAAACTATATTGTTCGCCTCAGACACACTGTACATGTTTCTTCCTTTTTATCTGACGTGAAATGTTCCTCCATTACAAACCTGAAACGATGCTTATAGTAATTTACTGGGAATACTATAATGTATTATCAGGAAGAGCTGTACCTTTGAAAAAGTTTAAAAGTTAAGTATATTTAATGATGCCTAACATATTTTATTGGCTGTGTTTAACAAAAGGCACTAGGCTGCAGTTGTTTTTGACAAGCATGAAAACATCACAGCATGAGACTGCAAAAGGAATTATGTAGAGAAATTACAAGTGATCCATCTCTCAATGAATTATCCACCTCAATAGCCTGCAGAACTCAGCTACCAATTAACACCTACTTTATTACATGTTGGGATGTACTTAATAACTTTCATGTGTTTATGCACTATTACCTTGACTGATGCCTCTTGTACAATTAGGCATAATTGGCATATCAATATGCAAAAGTTAAAAGGATTAACCCTCTTAAAACTAATGAGCATTTCTGTATCCAGCTGCTAAATGAGACAAAATTAGCATTTTTCACTTTTGGGCAGGATTTTATCATGCAGTTTCTCATTGTTGATATTACCTTGTTACATAACTTTAGTTTTGGGGATAGTATGCTGGACTGTTACAGAGCAAGGGCTCTAAAAAGTTAAATTAGACATAAATATTCACTGCCGCATTCCAATAACCATAGCAGGTACAATATATGTTCATTGGCTGAGAGCTGAGAAGTTGCTTTGTGTTACATTTGTTTAGTAGCTAATTATATAAAAGTGGAATTTTACTGAGTATATGTCATTTTACCAAGCAAACTTGGCTCCGACATAATAGATTGAAAGCATGCCATGCTACTAATTTCCTTTCTATTTCAATTCTTTTCATCTCTTTTTGCCATGCAGAATATTCTGACTAGATATTGACAGCCTGAAAGTGTTTTGGTGTATTTACTTAAATAAGCCTCTTAAAGTAGTTTGCTAACGCCCAGAACTAAAAGCAAAATTTCTGAGGATCCAAACGTTTTCAAAATACGGGCTTTAAAATGCAGCGAGATTCAAGTTAAAAGACTGGGGAAATATCAGTTGCACGTATCAATCGCACGCTGACATATCTGAACCCGTGCAATGTGACTTGTGAAGGATTTTGGGGGAAGTAATGGAAGAGGGTAGTCCCTGCGTGTCCAACTGTCTTGAAAAAGCAGCGTCCACCTGATACACACACACACACACACACACACACACACACACACATATTTAGTAATCTTGTTTTCAAATCCGTGATGCTCTTTTCCAATGCACTTACATACACAGTTTTGACTTTTGCATTTAAAGGCACACAGATCCCTGCTAAAAGATGCATATTACCAGTGTGTTATGCAAAGGTAATTATTTTGTGCTCAAAGATAAAAAGGATTTATCCTGATTTTTCTATTTGGAATATTTTTTTTTTTGTTTTCAACAGCCTGCATCTGTTTAGATGCTGGATATAAGGTATCCACTTATTATGCTTATTTTCTATTTTACATTGACTGAATATTTTTATTGTATCATCAGATATATTTTTTTTCTGTTTAAAAACTAGAAACAACTGAATAAGGGACTCCATATTACTCTTTCACCACTCCTATTTGGCATGTGCACTATACTCTGTGTTCTATTAATAAATGGGTCAAATCCTTTTTACTCGACTAATGCAAAACCTTCTGACTTCAGTGGATTAAGGCAATCAGCATTTGGCACATTTTGAACAATCAATAGAAATATATATTTCTAAAACATATTTGGAAAAGAACTGAACGCTCTGGATAATAAAGGGCAAAACCCAGGCAAAAACCCAAGAAAGATGACTGGTGATTTATAGAGAAGAAAAACCATAATTTTCTCTAAGGGATTTGTCGTATTCTCAAACATTTGCTGTGATGCTTGTAAGCATACCTGGGGCTATGCTTCTGAAGGTGGACAGATTATTTTCTATACTGTGACAAAGAAGGATATGCATCATACATCAGCAGGGCCATATGCACTTGTGCATTTTATAGTAGTGAAGATGCAAATGTGGAATGCATAAGATAACTGACGCAAAAGCTAGATTCTTGGGGATTTATGCTATTTATTTCAAGGGAAATGCTTGAGCTTTGTGTAAAGGTTGAAACTAATATTAATGTTAGAGTTTACAGAGCACAAATCATGAAGCTGGACACAGACTGTGTTAGACAAGGGCTCTTTCTGTGCCTAATGTTAGTGTCTGAACTAGAAATGTAAATGAATATTTGCTATTTTTATCTGTTAAACCCCAGGGAAGTGCATTTTGCTTCATTCAGAACAACTTCAAACAATGAAATGTCTTTTTTTTTTTTTTTTTTTTTTTTTTTTTTTTCCAAAATGTTAATGTATTAGAGCTTTTTCTGATTAGGTTAAACAAACTGGTAGGTTTATTTATCTCTCTAATACATTATCAAGGAAACGGGAAGCAATCTTCTTTTGTTTCTTACTCCTGTGATCACAGAACACTTGCCAAAGTTATGGCTAGCCAAAAAAACAGAAATAAAATTGCTAAAAATATAAGCCTTCTGTTTAGCAGAGTTTTTGAGCCATATTTTGAAATTGCAGGGCTTGTACATGTTTACTTCAAATCAAGCTTATAGTCAAGTTTGAGGCTTTGTTTGTATAGATTGTCCTGAAGTAGATCCTGATATTTAATTAAAATGACACTAAATCACATTGAATTGATAAGACTTGGCATCTCAAACAAAGGTAATTGCCCGTATTGGTTTTGTACAAAAATAGAGCTGCTTGGAAAATGTGCAGCCAACACAGACTGTCAACTCCATTTATAGATCAATATGTGAAAACCATTGATCAGGCAGGCATGTGTAACAGTAACACTTTGCATTTATTTGTTGTTTTTATACCATGTTAAGGCTTACAGGATTATCAGCTTCCAAAATATTTTGACTTCCTCGTAAATATGTTATCTGTTTAATGTTAATTACAAGACAGTCTCCAGCCCTCTTTTTGAGTATTTTCAGTTTCATCGCTATGGGTAGTTTTAGCTGAAAATGGATTATTTCAATCTCTGAGAGATCATCAGAGCTTCTTTTATAGTATAGTTTATTTAGGGACAGTTTTTGAGGATTCCTTTTTTTTTTTTCCCCAGTTTACTTTTTTTCCTGGATGAAGAAACAAAACTTGACAAAATATTTCTAAAAGCAGAAAACTTTCTCCTGTCATAGCTGTGTACATTTGAGGTGGAAGTAGAAAAATATTCCCTTTATTGTGCTCTAATAGTGACTGCCCAGACTTTATTTACTGAAAATTTTATCGTCATACACTAGTCCATAACAGATGCATCTACTTTTGTCGCTGTAAGGAAAGAGCTGTGTACCCTTCAAGGTGTTGCACAAATCATATAACAACACTGGGACAGAGGTAGAAAAGTAGTAGAAAAGTAGTAGAAAAGCTTCCCGTGACAAGTGTGGTAATTGTTAATAAATACAAGCTTACACCTTGTTCCCTCCAAATATTTCAGGGTGGGTATGAAAGCAGTGAGATGATAAACACAGTCCAGTTTTGCTTCATGAACATGAATATTTTTTTTAAAAAAGCCCAATAATTTGTTGAGTAATGTTAGTCATTCTCCTTTTTAGTGCAGAAAAATGAGAAATGAAAGGTGTCATATGTCCCCTTACTGGAATCAAGCTGGGTTTGTGTTTTCAAACCCTTGATCTGCTCTGGGATGTGTGTCGTGCTTACAGACTGACATGTTTTGCCCTTGACTCCATTTTTTCAGCCATTTCCTACGCGTGTCCCTTGGTGCCCACCTGAGGAGCTGCTCCGGCTCCGGGGTAGGGGCCTTCAGCCTGCACTGGGCACCGCTCCCAGATGTGCCC